GCTACCACCACCACTACTACTTCTACTTCTACTACTACTACTACTACTACTACTACTACTACCACTACCACTACCACTACCACTACCACTACCACTACCACTACCACTACCACTACCACTACTACGACTACTGCTGCTGCTACTACTACTACTACTACTACTGCTACTACTGCTACTACTACTGCTACTACTACTACTACTACTACTACTACTACTACTATTACTGCTACTGCTACTACTACTGCTACTACTTGAACGTACAAAAACCACACAACATGGTCCAGTATGGTACATAATACTGCTAATGTCAATGCCAGGTCAGCGTTCATTGTACAGTGGACGAGCGCGATGACGGAGAGGGTTGGAGACTCAGGTTCCGTTTCCAACGGGGGTCGGGGTCATTCGTCACTACCAGCCCAGTGTGTTGACACAGCGCTTGGCAAACCTGTTTGGTGGCTGGTGAGACGAGCTAAGAACCGCAAAGTATCGCATTGCTTGCCCAATCTTGGAGCAAGGTGGCGAGCTGTTGGATGATGCACCTCAGGCCTGCTAATTGAGTGCAGTTGAGAAGGCAGTGTCGACGAGCAGTTGCAGGCCGAGCCTTTGCGCAATACAACAGCAATTAGAAGTGATGCCGGTCCACATGCCTGCGATGGGCCTGGTCAATCGGACAGTCCAACATCCATTTTGCAGTTGTAGTGTCAGTAGGCTAGCAACGTAAGATTCGTACTGTGAGTCAAGCATGAGCTGCAGATAAATTCAGACACACTTGGCTTCGGCTGTTGCCTGTGCGCTCCGTGCGGGAGGAACCCAGTGCGGGAACTTTCCCGGGGCAAAAGTTGTCCGCGGGCCTCCCTTCTCCAGCTTCGAAATGCCAAACATCCGAGAAGCCCCCTTCAGCTTCTGTTTGATCCAGGTGGAAAGCAGCTCTTCCAAGCCAATAGCGATAGCAGCTGAAGTCGTTTCTCGCACCTCCTGGAAAGACTTTGTGGTCTTTTGAGGGTGTAGAATCTTGCAGAGTTTTGGCTGGTGTGGATTTACGTGGGGCTAGGAGCCCAGAAGGCAGCTAAGGCAATGTCCCTGCAAGGGGTAGGTTCAAGTATTTAGTTTATATCTACGTGCTTCTTTGGTCCTTGGGCCCTCATTTCAGGTTGGCATTTGGATGTAAGAAGTTCTGTAAGAAGAGCTGACTGACGAGGGTTCCGCTCGAACAGCGGAGAGCTACGGGTCCTGGCCAATGCTGCCAGACTCTATGCATTGCAGAAGAACCCCTGTAATTACGGTACGGAGAGAAAACCACAAGGGCCAACCCATCATCGGAAAGAAGCTTTCTTAGAGTCTTAGACTGCTGCAGCCAAGGCTCCCCAGCCGAGTGTGACGCCGCCGAGTCCGAGGCCATGCCGTTGCACAAGCTGTGGGGCAAGCTCTGCATCATGTGCGAGGATCGGGCAGAACTCCTTTCTCAGTACAGGCCACGGCTCAAGAACTGAGCTGTCACACCCGAGACAGGACTGAGCAGAAAATAGTAGAGTGACAGCTATGTCGTTACTGCATCCAGCAATACGAGTCGTAAACCCATGTACGGATGCCGCAAGCCCGACCTTTACAAGTACTGAAATCAATCTCTGATGGTTCCAGACCGCCTCTGCCTGTCTCAGTCGAGATAACAAGGCATAGCATGCAGTGGATTGGGCCTCAGGGTTGTTGGATTCTCAAGCGCCTGGTGTATAGGGTTTAGGGTTTCGTGGGTACCGGTTGAGAGTGTGCGTGACGGCTGAGAGTACAGCTGCTAAAGCCTTCTGCCCAAGTCATTAATTCTGAGTATCATTACTGGGGCAATAGTCTGTTATGTGTGATCTTCGTGTTGCTCAAGGATACAATGAAATTGCCCATGAAAACTATTACGATTATTGACTACACATGAGAAATACTCCAGACGCATGCAAGCTTGCCAAGCAGCAGTGCCAGGCAAACACCGACACTTCCGCGGATATCGCCTGCACCTCCGCTCCCAGTGGCGGCAGGCGAGTGTTGGGCTCCGAAAGGAGAGGTGTGGAATATGTATAGTGAGTCGTGACCAGTGCGCTGTGGCACGCTCAGAGCTTTCGAGTCTACGATCCCGATCAGCCTTTTGGACACTGCATCTAGTCTGTAGATTGCAGAACTCTCGCGTCTTCACTCATGCGCGCCAGCCCTGCTGGCCCTCGAGCGCAGTGTTCTCGTGGTCCATTCCTCGTCGATTCCAGCAGGCCGTGGACCCAGCGCCAGCCGGAGGCCTCTCCGCGCGAACTGCATCCCCCGTGATACGGAGGGCGCCCCCTACCGGCCCTAAGCGCTCAACTGCCAGATGCCAGTTGCTAGTCAGTCCCCAGTCGACTCGGAGCTCCTTGCAGGCCGCTCGAAGACCCGCGCTCCGCTGGCAGCTCTCCTTGTGGTGGCCGGGCCAAGCGCTACTTTCAGACTCTGCTATATTCTGCCGTTCGGTCTGCTGGAGTCTTCTCTGTTCACTCTGAGTCTGTTCATCTCTGTTCTCTGTTTTCCATCGGTTTGTCCTTGAACCGAGACGTTCCTCTCATGTAGGCCGAGCAGATACATGCAACATATGCAACTAAGTGGGAGCGCCGCCGGACGCGCCGCTGCCACCAACGCAGCGACCCAATGCCTCAGACCCTCGGGCGGAGCCTCGGGGTAACTCAGAGGACCTTACTCCGAGCTGTCGCAATGTGTCGGGTTCGTCTAGCCGCACCTGGGGTCAATGCTTCAGGCTCATTGTCATGGCACGGTTAGATGCCCTTCCAGCTGCAAGGACGCAGAGATGCCTGTCATCCTGACGCCCCTGGCTCCACCACCCTTGCACCCTCCCAAGCGACTCGGTTGGCGATTCTTGCTGTGAAACACACAATCAATGTCAACGGTTCCCTGACTTGTCAGGCCCCTGAGAGATGCCTAAATACCTTGCAGCGAGGCTTTCCGGTACGGCAGAGCCGAGTGCCGAGCTTCAATGCGAGGAAGCCCAAGACGAGGAGAGCAGGTTTATGGGGGCTTCCCACACAAGGAGGTTGGAGGGATTCTGGCATTTTGGAGGAAAGCGCGTCGCTCCTAAACTCTGGGCCCAGGAGGACTCCGAGCCCAGAAGGCCGCCTCCGCCCGACATGCCTCCACCGCCCTGCCCCGCAGGTGCCAGATTTTTCTTTCGGCGCTTCCAGGAGATTTCGGCACTTGCGTTGTGCGTACGAGTTTCTGTAAACAATAGCTCATGACCAGAATTGGGAGGATGCGATCGTAGAGGGGGAGGTGTTCTAGTACTGGTGTCAAGTGTTTGGAGTTTCGAGCCAGGAAACTCGGCAATCCGACTGACACTGCAATAAAGATCGCACTTGGGGGGACAACATTGTAGCATGTTCTACTGAGAGCTTCTGAGCCCGTCGACCATAGTCCTGAACCTGAACGCCACCACAGCCAGCAATCTTTCGTTGTTGTTGCCGAACCTTTGTGACAGGGGGTGTTCAGCACCTGTAGATGGAAGCATTGGTAAGGTCTGAAAAACAGTGCAGCAATTGTGTTGGACATAGAACACCTTCACACGTCGCCAGGGCAAGAGATCCTGCGCTGGCTCCAGCAGCCCCCTAAAGGGTGTCGCCGGCCGGTCCTTGGAAAGTTGAAAGTGGTCGTCTTGGGGAGCAGTTTTCCGGTACTCGTACAGTGTCGCGTCCCATTTCTCACAACTCGCACGTACATGTTTGCCAGCGTGGGCACTCCAGAACCCGAGTCGGAGGAGTGAAACTGTGATTTTCAGTGCGCAGTCCCCATGCGGACCTTTTGAACATGGCACGGAGTCGATGCAGGTCAAGAGATATGGTTCTCCGCTTCTGAAATGCTGGTTTGTTGGTTCATCTTAAACTCGAGTCCAGAGGTGGAAGTGATTGCGAACGGTTTACGGCAGGGTTTAGTTTCGGTTTCGTTTCAGCATGAATGCCACCCCCCAAAAAAAACACTATTTTTACAGCCGAGTGGGCAAAACAGTGTGTATGTGCGTGCGCGTGCGTGAGTGCCTGTGCGTGTGCGTGTGTGGGTGGGTGTGTGTGTGTGTGTGCGTGCGTGAGCGTGTGTGTGTGTGTGTG